CAATGGGAGAGGTGTGCAAAAATAAATAAAATCTTTAAAAAAAAAAACAAAAACATGACGTGTAAGCTAAAACTACACTCCTTCTTTCCATCTAGCTTGAAAAAGTTAGTGGAAGAAGCTCTGAAAGGATCTCAACTCCCAACCATCATGGACTTCTCAAAATTTTCCCGGAACTATCAGTTTTCCAAATCTGTTTCCCTTCCATCGCTTGACCCTGTTTCAGTCAAAATCGAGGGAAATCTTATATTTGATCCAAATAATTACCTTCCTAAAGAAAGCATGCTGAAAACAACCCTCAGTGTCTTTGGATTTGCTCCAGCGGACCTCTTTGAGGTATGTGTGAGACTAAGAAGAGGCTCCCGTCCTCTCTCCTGTTCTGTACAACACCATAAATAGAAAGTCAAGGGAGTCATGAGCCAGCCTGGGGAGGAGCTACAATCAGGCAGCTCATTCCTACCATCAGTTTGAGGGCTTCTTCTTTCCCTCCTCCCTTGCCCTCCTGCCTTCTAGCTAAAGGTCACCTGAAGCATGACTCTGTAGTATTAAGGGAAATGTAGATGTCTCAGGGAAGCCCTTAGAACCAAATCCAACAAAACACATGGGCTATGCGATCAGACTGATCTGGTTCAAACCCCAAATTCATTCCCAATCTGAATCTCTTGTTTAATTGTTTATCCTCTCTGACCTTAGCGTCTTCTGGAAAAGGACAAGTAATAAGTTCTGCCTTTCAAGATTCCAGTAAGATTTAAATAAAACAACTCCTGTGGTGGCTGAGCTCAGCTCCTACCCCATAGTATTCATTAAATACTTGTTTAATTAAATGGACACAAAGAGAGGAATTGGAGCAACCTGATGGCATTTTCTTGCCTGATTTTCTTTCTCAGATTGGTTTGGAAGGGAAGGGTTTTGAGCCAACATTGGAAGCTCTCTTTGGAAAGCAAGGATTTTTCCCAGACAGTGTCAACAAGGCTTTGTACTGGGTTGATGACCAAGCTCCTGATCATGTCTCCAAGATCTTGGTGGACCACTTCGGCTACACCAAAGATGATAAACGTGAGCAGGTATGTTTTTATTAAGAAAAGCTTTGGATCTCAGTGCAAAAATATTTTCCTCCAAGCCTAGAAGTCAAGAAGCTATCTAGCTGAAATGATAATTATGTCTATTATTTACCAGTCCTGTGGGGGTAAAGACTAGGGTTCTCTGCAGTTATAAGCCTCCTGGAGATTCAGTGTGCCCAGGAGCCAGACTTATTAGAGGCATTCTCCCATAATGATTAACAGTGTAGACTCTGGGGCATGGGTTTGAATTCTGACCTTACTGTCTTCAAAATGTGCACACCTAGGAAAGCTACTTGATACTCTGTTTCTACATCCCCAGAGTGCTAATAGTCCATAACTCACTGGGTTATTTAAAGACTAAATGAAATAAAGTATGTAAAATGCTAATCAGAGTGCATGACTGGTACTGATTGCTCAATAAGCAGACATTATTTTAATTTTTAAATTCATATTTTCATTATTAACTGCTTTCTTTGGCTCTTACTCATATAGTAGGAGCAAAATCTACTTTGAAGCTAGCATAAGCCCCCACTTAAGGAGTAGAAAATAGATTGTATAATCTGGAGCTTCTTATTCTTTAATTTTTTGCTACTCCAAGTGTGATTCAATCATTGGCTCACATCAGAGTTTGTTAGAAATGCAGATTCTGAGGCCCCACTGGGATATACTGCATCAGAATCTATATCTTAATGACATTCCCTAGATGACCTGTATGTGCATTTCAGTTTGAAAAGCAGGGCAATAATTTACTCCTAGATGCTCACAGATGGCCCCACCTCCACCTTCTAATTTACTCACCTCCACCTGAGGCTGAGGGTCTTTGCTCTGTTTGGGTCTGTCAATCACTCTTTTCTTTCACATGTTTAAGCATCAGTCTATGGAGTTCTTCTAATCTCTAAAAAGAACTTGTTTAGGATAGGGTGTTTTTCAAGCTTTTGGCCAATTTCTATAGCAGCTGCATTTTCTCAAGAAACCCCTAGTATTCATCCCTCATCAAAGGAGAAAGGGGTAATCAGGGGAGACGTGAGGGACAGACAATCTTCTGCTCTTGGTGAGCCTAGGAATCCTGACATCCTGGAGAACAGAGGTCCCTCTTACTATGCCTACATTCAAGTTAAGAACAGCATGGAAGCACCCACTATCTCTGATAAGACCTCAGTTTCTCTTTCCATCTCAATTTGGAGGAGCTATCTATCTTTCTGTAAAAGGCAGGAGTGATTTCAGTGGCTTCCCTATATCCCCACCTGTGTACTTATATTTAGCCCATCATGGCTGCAGCATATGGGCCCCACAATCAGGAACCTAAAGGTGTTTGACAATACTGACATCTCATTAGACATTTTGTCGTTAAAATCCCAGGACATGGTCAATGGAATTATGCTCAATGTTGAGAAGCTGATCAAAGATTTGAAATCCAGAGAATTCCCAGAAGCCAGAGCCTACCTCCGTATCCTGGGAGAGGAGCTTGGCCTTGTCAGGCTCCAAGACCTCCAGGTCCTGGGAAGGCTGCTACTGAATGGTGTTCGCACTCTTCCCGGTATCCCCCAGATGGTAAGTGGGCCAGGCACCATCACGGGCAATGAGATTAGCCCATGCCCTTTTTAGATCCCCCAGACTCCTTAAGATCCTGTCCCACAAACCAGAGAAAGTACTTGTACTTCCTTCAAAGAAGCAGGTTTGCCTTGAATTTCAGGAGGAAGATTCTTGGGTTGCAAGGAATTGGTAACATTTAGAAATTAGGCCTTTGGTAATATTAGGCGTATGTTTCAAGGGCATCCATTTGTTCATCTGGAAAACAATATTAAATGTATCTCCCTATATTTATGCTACAATGATTATGACAGAATGCATTTGACAAACTGTAATCCACTATCTAAATACGAGCTATAGTTTCCATCATTATTAATTTATTAATAAGGGAGAAAATATCCAAATATTGTTCCCCGATATTTGATAAATAATAATGTTGGCTTTAAGAAACCAGATTTCAAGTTTTTTTCTAAAAATTTTATTTAAAAAAAAAAACAATGCATACTAATATGTCCATCATCTCAATAGCTCTTTAGTTTTAAAAAAATGGTTTTGGGGTGCCGGGGTGGCTCAGTCATGTAAGCGGCTGACTCTTGGTTTCAGCCCAGGTCATGATCTCAGGGTCCTGGGATCAAGCCCTGAGTCAGGCTCTGCACTCAGCAGGGAGTCTGCTTGTCCCTATCCTTCTGCCCCTCCCCCCGCTCTAAAATAAATAAATCAATCTTTTAAAAAAGTGGTTTTATCATAATAGATTATACTTAAGTAGACCCTCATTTCCATTTAGACTCCAAATAACCAGAATTAATCTATGCCATCCAAGGCTACTTAAAGCTCATAAAGCTCTGAGGCACAGCAGTATTCTTAAGTGACTGAACCACTAGATCAAAATGACATGGTATCTGTCTAGGGCAATTTCTTATATCCCAGTCTGTTGAAATCAATAATCATGCATTTTATCAAATAGTCAGCTAATCAAAATATACTAGTCTGTTTCTTTCTGGATAAAGAAGAACAGTTACTGTCTGATATGTGGGAGGTTGCATTTCAAAAATCCCACTCCAGGGCGCCTGGGTGGCTCAGTTGTTAAGCGTCTGCCTTCGGCTCAGGTCATGATCCCAGGGTCCTGGGATCGAGTCCCACATCGGGCTCCCTG